CATGCATGCATGCATGCATGCGTACAACGCACATCTATAAGTGTGCCTATACAGGCTGAGCCCTGCTACCCCACCCCTCCCCCCACTCAAGATCCTTCAAACCTGACGTGACGATGAAGGAGACGAATAAGTTGAACACAGTGCTTCAGAGAAAGACCGAGCTGATGAATGTAAACGGAGCATGGCGACAAGTTTGATGCTTATGATGGCGGTAACGATCATGGTGATGAACAGGATGATGGACGGGATGGTTGCTTTACTCATGATGAGGGGGATGTTTGGAACTTATGTTGTTGGTCGGAGGTGACGACAGTGATGCTGATGGTAGCAGTGATGGTGTTGGTGGTGATGATGATGATGATGATGATGCAGCTATCAAGTGGAAGGTGCTGATGATGACCGTCAATAATGATGATACCAAGGCTGTTGCTGTGTTTGTTGCGGTGATGTTGCGGCTGCTGCTGTACATGCTGCTGATGATGGTGGTGCTGACGATTATGGGAGCAAACGCGGTGGAGCAGAAGAGCGCGTGAAACATTAAGAACTGCTGACTGATGTCGCGAAATGCTGATCCCCATTGTTCCGCGAAATGTTGCTTTGCCGACAGCCACGCATGTAAAGGAACACAAACCTCTGACACACGTGTGAATATTCGCAAGTTAATTTTCCTCTTCGTCCTCATTAAGTTTTTGCCAGCACTGGCATTCCCTGAGCAGGCCAAGATGTTGTAGGCTCCTTCTCGTGGAAATCATGGTGCTTCTGGTCACGGAATCCCGGGCCACTGTACTGGAACCGGTGAAGGTGCTCCGCCCCTTTCTCTGTGTCCCAGTGCAAAGTCAGGAACAGCTGTGCCATCTCGCATCAGCTTGACGGTACTCAACGCCAACACCAGTTGTAGGATCCCCGCAAGCGCAATAATCACCAGCTCAGAGAAAGAGGAGCGGGTGGTGCTTGGGGTTTAAGGCCAGGGTGGGTGATGTTGCTCGTGGATGAACCCCTGGTCGTCTTAGCATCCGGCTGGTAGGAGAGCGCGAACTTCATCACCTGCCACTTGAAAAGGGGGCCTTGAGGTTCGAATCCCTGAAAGATGCAGGACTTTAGGATCTTTCTGCTGCAGCTACAGTATCCGGCATCCGGATACCCTAAGCCCTGATCATGCCTGTTGCGAAATTCCCGGGGACACGACGGTTTGAGGAGTGTTCAAACTGTTGGGGTGTAGGTTACTTTATCGGTTGGGGGTTGAAGGATACTTGGAATTCAGGGTCTCACCCTGACATTTCCAAGACCGGACTATAATAAGAGAAGTACTGCAGATATCATATCGGCCCAAAGCCGAAGCCCGGGACCTCTGTAATGTAGGGGCCTGAACAAAGAGCATAGGGTTTGGGGTTTTGGCACATGATGTAGCATAAACATGTATGGAGCGTCAGGTAATTCTAATTATTAGAAGCTGTCAGTAGCTATTCTGAACCCTACAGTACTCGAAGCCCGGGCCTTTCCCACGGGTGTGTGGAACTTCGTAGCTTCCAACACCCACATCACACTGAATCCCGATACCTAGTACTGGAACTCCGGGTGAGGACAGGGAAGTGTTAGCCATTCCCAGCAAGCGTCGTTGTAGCGCGAGTAGAAGGAGGATACAGGCTGCAACCACTTATTCACCACTTCATCTTGCCGTTTGCAGTAGGCCCGCATTTGCTCAATTTAACAACAGACTGCAGCTTGCGTTGCCAGCTTGTCCACAGGGGGGGGGGGGGTTCCAAACCGCATCTGCCGAAGGGCAACGTTTGAGCTCCAGAGGCCTGCTCTAGGACTCAAAACCCTAAACCCAAAGCCCTACCTTAAGAACCCAAAGCCTACTTTTTTGTAGGGTCCCTATAAATCCCATATTAGGGTTTATATTAAGAACCTACAAAAAAGTGGGTTTTGGGTTCTTAAGGTAGACCCTAGACCCCAACCCGAACCAAAAACCTGCGGGCCACATCTCCCTTGGCCAAACCCAGCCGTGAACCTTCCACCTGTAGCAAACCCTGAGTCCTACGAGACCCAAGCGTCAGCCCTAACCAGGAACCTGCAATGTAGGGGCCTCAAAGCTTTCATTGTGTAAGATTCTGAGTTCCGTTGTAGTACAATTGTAAGGATCCCCATTGAAAAACTCGAATTGCCCCTAAATTACGCTCACGGAACCCCATCCACGGAAACCCTTAACCCGGAACCCTTCACCCGGAACCCTGAACCCGGGATCCGCGACCGAAAGCATGGCGCCTTTATCCGCGCCGGGCTGAGATTGCAGAGCGGCAGCATCCTATGGGTAGTTCTCTTGGGTCCTAGACACCTACATAGTAGAAAGTAGGGTTTCTGTAGTAAGAATTACCATTATGGTTTCGGGCTTAGGCCCCTTTGGGCGAAAGCTGTTGTGGGGGTTTAGGGTTGCGTGGTTTGGGTCTTAGGAGTCGTGGCCGCATCCTATGGCTGTTTCGGGAGTCTAGTTTTTGAGGAGGCAAACTTTCCATGCATGAAACTGTTCATGCATGGGTTTCAAGTGGGAGTCGATTAGCCTTGGTCGCGCTTGTATCGGCTCTGACCACACAACAGCAGAATGCCTGACTCACCGGAAACTCCCAAGCCCTCAACTCAGAACCGTCATCCTCAGGCTGTGAGCACTGTATTCTTCAGGAAAAGGTTTCCAGCTTGGACCCTTACGGCTGCATCGGCTCACGGCATTTAAATCCCCAAATATCTCACTTCACAGGGTTTTCTTGGGGTCTTCTTGAGTCTTCGGTACTCCCGAGTTGCTTGCGTGCTAAACCCGTCTCAATGCTGAACCCCCATGCCCTGAAGGCCCTCAAAACCTCGACCTGGTGCTCGTTTGTGTGTCCTTTTTGTTGTGTGTGCGTGCTTTGCGGCCGCCCAGGTTCGCTTCGAAAGAACGCGCATGTGGATTCTTTAAGACGGGTGAGGAAGCCTCTTTTTTCCACTAGGTCCAGCCGTGGCACCATCGGCACCAAACCCACGGCCCAGGCCTATTTGGAGCAAACATGTGCCATTCGCCTTTCTTCTCGTCGGGTTTTTGACCAACGAGAGCTTTTCATCCTTCTCGTGCTTGTCCGGCTGCTCGTCGCCTTTCTTGACCTTGTCGACGGCTTTCGGCCCATTGCGAAGCTTGACGCTGGGTTCAGTCAGGGTTCAGGCCTCTGGGGCTTGGGTCCAAGCCCTGCACCGGGGACGCTTGGCCGGAACCTTATAAAGTTGGAACATGCCCGAAACGGGCCACTGCGTCCCGGAGGCATGTTCCAAGATTCGGGCGCTCGCCATAGTATATTCAGGATCCGAAACTGCAAGAAAAAACAGTGCTGCTGATTATCCGGACCCCACCTTAACTTACAGGATCCCTGAACCCTGAACCCCTTGGCCTTCATTGGCGAAGTAGCGGGGGTGGGGGGGGTGGGGGGGGGGCCCTGAGAAGTCCTAAACCGACCCTGCAAATTCCACCGTAAACCTCTTGGCTTTAGGGCTCAGGATTGTAGGGTAAGGGCTCAGAGTGTTTGCTCCTGACCCGAAATCATACACACCTCGTCCAACCCCAAAATCCGTAAACCCCTGAGCCCTAATGTACGGGCCTTAATAATTAGAATAGTGTTCTGGGGGCTCCTTATTCTAATTGCAGTATGATATACCCCCAAACCCTATTCTATTTATTAAGCACTAAACTGTACTCCTTCCGCCCTGAACCCGAAACAACGGAGGTGCCTCCTCTCCACGTCTCGGAGGGTTTCCTCCTGCCCCAGCTGAGCTTAAACCATAAACTCTAAACGCTAAGCCCCAAACTCTAAATAGCCCTAAAAGCTCCACCCTAAACTCTAAACAACCCTAAGCCCTAAACCCTAAACTTTAAATAGCCCTAAACCCCAAAGTCTACATCGTCTGATTTGTTTCGCGGATTTTGGGCCTAAGGCGAGGGACCAGGCGGGCCTACCTGACCTTGAACTACCCAAACCTACCTGTTTTGTAGGGTTCTCCTCTGAAGTATACCTTAGCTCACAAGAAGCACCTACAAAAAAGTTGGTTATGGTAGTTTAAGGTACGGTCTAGGCACTAGCATCTCGTCATGAATACAATGGAGTTGCTAAGTTGACCTTGAAGTCCACACTGAGAGGTCTTGAGACGGCAATCCGATTATTGCTTTGCGGTCCAAGTACCTGGTGTTCAGGTACACCGCGCCCCCCTCCTAAAAAGAATTCCGCCTACCGTGATCTCATCCGAAGCCGAAGTTCCTAATCACCGGGTCCTTGGAACTCTCAAAGACAGCCTGGAACGCTAGATCAAAAGACCCTAAACCCTCTAAACACCTAAACCCTAAGACCCTAAACCCTAAACCCTAAAGTCTGGCTGTTCGCTTTGCTTCTGCGGGGCGTTGGGGTTTCTTCCAGGGCCTTGGGAGGTCAGAACGCCACGGCCTCCGGTCTCCAATCAAGTTATATGTTTGAGGGTTTGGGGGTTTCGGGTTGAGGGATCTGAATAATTAGAACGAGGTTTGGGGGTTATATTCTACTCAGGGACTATCGGGGACTGCTGCTACTAACGAAACTTCCAAACCTGATACTTTCGCCTAAGAGATGCGGGTTGAGTCTAGGATTCTATTCTTTGGGATGCTTAGGGCTCCCGTAAGACGACATCGCTCAACACCAAATCATAGACCCTGGACCCTAAGCCTCTAAACGCGGAGCCCTAAACAATAAGCCCTGTACTCTGACCCTTCAACCCTAAAGGCTTAACCCCAAAGCCTGGCCATCATGGCATCCAGCCTTGTCTTTGTTCGCCAGCAGCTTCGTCGCCTGCAGAAGAGTCACTTCTAAGGTGGCCTCTAAACAAAGCGCACGAGCATGCCTGCACAGCGGCCATGAAGCCCCGAACCCTCCACCCCTGAACTGAAACCCCGAGCTATGGCTTTTAGGGTTGAGGGTTCAACTCGAGCCTGCGAAGCGAGCCGGCGGTTGCGGTTGATGTTTCCTGTCCCTCAACTCAAACGAAACTTGACCGAATCTTTCGCTTGAAATGCGAAGCCCCAAACCCTCAAACCCCAGTTGGACCGTCCGTGAGACCAACACCCACAAGCCTCTGATGTCGTCGGCATCGCCACAGTCAGAAGCTCAACATGGTCGGCACGCAGCCACGTGGAGCCTGCAATTCAATGTGGTGGGGGAGGGGAGAGGAGACAACTGAACCTAAACCCCAAACTGCTGCAAGCCTAAATTCCAAAGGTTGCAACCCTAAACCCAGAAATCCCCAAATTCTACATCATAAACCATCTTCCCCATGGGCCGACAACAAAAAACTGAAGGGCCGAACTGAACGGCGGAGGGGTTTTGGAGCTGCTTGCTGGTTTAGAAGTTATAGGGTTCAGGGGTTTAGGGTTTAGGGTTTAGGATGCTGTTTTTTCTACGCTTAGGGCTCAGGCTTCAGCAAAACATGGTGCAATGTCTTGGGCCTGGGATTTACTGACGCCCGCTAGGCTGACCGTCCTTGCCCCAAGCCCTGGCTGGGGCCGTAGCTGCTCCTGTAGATAAGCCCCGGGAGTACTGCAAGATCCCCAAACCCAAAATCTCAAAAACCCTTAACCGTAGATATTTTGTAACCGCAGGGGATAGTAACCTTACAGTCAGCCTTCTAGCCGTATAGCCAGCCTGACAGATCCTGCAAGCAAGGCTTTCTTATAACCTGGGATGTTTGGAATTCTGTGCGGGATGCTCCATCTCTGAGCTTGCTTTGCTCCATGCCCACTCACAGCAGCACTCTAGGGTTTGGGGTTTAGGGGTTTAGGGTTCAAAGCACTCGCTCATCTCCCTGCGCCTGTGTCGAAGAGGCGAATCGCTTGACTCAGTTCCTGCGAGGAAATGCTCCGAACACTCGGTGTAAGACGTGTAAACTGTATGCCCATCAGCGGTGCTCTGGGGTGTCGGGTTCAGGATCTAGGGTTCGGGGTCGAGGGCCAGGGCTTCGGGATGAGGGTTCCGGATTTCGGGCTTAGAGTTCAGGGCACCGTGGCAGTTCCGGGGAGGCGATGCGGAAAGGTGCGCGAGATGTCACTCACAGGCTCACAGGCAGCGGCAGCCTAAAGCTTGGCCTTTGATCATGCTCGGTACCAGGATTTCTCTGTCCAAGATAGAGCTGTAACGACTGTACCAACGCCCAAGTTGCTTAGTCGTCTGTCCATCTTCGAGGATATTTGAGGTCGCTAAACCGTAAGCCTAAAGCCATAACTGCGAAACCCCACGTGCGCAGCCCCCGAACCGAACACTAAAAAGCCACGACCCTGAAGTGAAGTGACCGATTTCGCTCTCAGTCTTCAAGAGACCACATGAAGCAACTCTGGGAATACTGGGGTCATGGGCTTGGGGCTTTGCTCCCTTGTCCAGCTTTTCAGGAGAGTTAAAGGATAACTGTACAGCCTATCGTTATAAATCCTACCACTAAGTCTTGCTTCAGTGGACATGTCGCACTGCAGGACGCAGGGGTTCGGGTATATAGGGCTTTAGAGGTTTGGGGGTCTAGCGCTTCCTGTGTAGAGTTCAGGGCTTGAGTTTTTCTGCTAAAAGTGCAAGTTTAGTGTGTGGTGCAACGGCACCTGCGAGGTGGGGCAAGGGAGCATGACATCGTACCCTGCACAGACTCGCCCTCTGAACCTGCATCAGTTTAGCTGTGATTTGACCATCAGCGCAAACCAGGCCAAGACACAAGTTAGGTACGTAAGGCCTCCGCCCTAACTCCCAAGGCAACCTCCCAAATGGACGGATAAGGTGCCTGCTCAACTCCGAGCCTGGCTGAGCAGAGAATACCTACGGACCCGAACCCAAACAACGAGGCCTTGGTACTCATCGCAAGCTTCGTGAGCACGATTGCCTGAGAAAGCCATGCGGACATGCACTTTCTGAATGTCTTCAGGCGAAGCTCTGAACGTTATCGTTGCAGTACAAGTTCTGGTGCTCGCTGCCCGACAGTTCGAGCACATGCGATGAGTTTCCAACTTGCGGTCCACATTCCAACCAGCCTAACACCAAGTACTGTAGTGTCGAGCTGTCGGGCTTCTATGCCTTGTGACTCATGAAGATCTACGACCCATCTGTGGCACAAACTGCAACCTCACAGACTTCTAGACCAGATCCCAAAAAAAACTCCACTTCGCGTAACAACAAGTAAAAGTTAGGCCTGCGATTCAAGCTTGGTGTGGGGACTTACAAATCACGACATTGCTGTCAATGTATGGCAACACTTCAGAAATCGACAGAGGACATACTTACACCAAGCTTTTCGGCGTGCTTGAAACGAAAAGGAAGTAATTAGAGGCTTGAAGCCCCACCCCCTAGAAAACTCCCGTAGTATAGAGGCCTCAAGAGGAAGACTTCAGACCTCGGCCCACAGCTCAACATAATTTCAGGGTTTAGGGAGTTAGGGTTTTAGGGTTTAGGGAGTTAGGGTTTCGGGTTTAGGGGTTAGGGTTTTAGGGTTCAGGGGTTTAGGGGTTTAGGGTTTAGGGATTAGGGATTCAGGGTTTAGAGTTTAAGGTTTAGGGGTTTAGGGGTTTAGGGGTTTAGGGTTAAGGCTTTAGGGGCTTTGGGTTTAGGGGTTCAGGGTTTAGGGTTTCGGGCGGCCCTGAATGACTTGAGCAAGATTTGTGAGGGCATGGTGCACCAGTAAGCTAGCCCTAAGCAAAGACTTCTGAACCCAGCGGTGCGCAGGAATGACACTATAAACAACGAAACAGATCTGGATTCTGGGTCCATATATATATATATATACATATATACATATATATATATATATATAAAATTAAATATGTGTATATATATATATATAGATAGAGGCCAAGATTGTTGCTTGTCGCTCAGAAGCACGGAGCTTCGACGTTTCTGCACTTCACAGTTAAGGGGAAACAGATGTATGCGATTAGTCCAATGTAACCGCATATGCAGATAGCACAGCAAATTCAGAACTCCATATAACCATCGTGCGCAAGCCGCATGCAACACACTGCTAAAACACAACCGCAAGATTGAAATTGAACTAAGACCTTGCCCGATCGCAGCAACCCAAGCCAACAACCATAGCCTGAAGCCCTATCCGCAACCCAAGCGACAACTAGCTTTAAAGGCTTCTTTCCATGAGCTCCCCATAGACTCCGCTATGGGTAAAAGAAGCAGATCTTGTAGGCTTCCACCCTAACCCGAAGCCGGACTTAAACTCTAGACAAGAAAGATAACAAGCAAGTCTTTTGGGCTTACACCCAACTCGAAGCTCTAGCGCTGCAATCCGAGGCACCCAAGGGGGAAGAAGGCAGATCATCGACCGCCCTGCATCCTGTCTTCTTCAATAACCGGGCCCCGAAAAAGTTCAAGCTTTCTAAGGTCCGAGGCCCATCATGCTATAATTATAATAAGGAACCCCCCAAAAAGTATAGGTAATGATTTAAGCCTCTATATTAAAATAGACCAGACATGTGAGGCCAAACAGGGAAAAAACCTCCCATCGGCCATCTAAAATAAACCAAAATCGTAAACCCTGAACCCGAAATCAAGAAAAATTCTCCCATCGGCCATCGAAGCGTCTGCAGCGCAGGCGTGGGAGTAGGGATCTGGCGTCTCCATGGTCTCCACACGGCCGGTGGCAGGGTGATAGGCCCGGACCCTGAGGAGTTTTCAGGGATTGTTTTAGGGTTTAGGGGTGTGGGGGTGTAGGATGTTAGGGTTTAGGGTTTAGGATTGTTTTGGGGTTTAGGGGTTTGCGGGTTTAGGGTTTTATTTCAAGGGTTCAGGGTTTAGGGTTCTTGAAAGGTTTCTCTATGAAGGCGAATGCATAAGGGTTCTTTGAGGGGATCGTTGAAGATATAAATCCCTGCATTCCCCATGATAAGGAATATTCAGAATTCCCATAGTTTAGGATCAAAGCCCTATAAACCCTAAACCCTCAACCCTAAACCCTCAACCCAGACGCTTAAGCCGACACCCTAAACCCCACAGACTCCCAAAGCCCTAAACCTTAAGGCCTAAAGCCCACGGGCCCGAAATCCTAAGCCCAAAGCCCGAAAGCCCTAAGCCCTAAAGCCCTAAACCCTAAGCCCTAAAGACCTAAATCCTAAACCCTCAGCCCCAAAGCCTTAAATCCTAAACCCGAAGCCCCAAAACCCTAAGCCCTCAATCCGAAACCCTCAGCCCCAAAACGCTAAATCCTAAATCGTAAACCCTAAGCCCTCACCCCTAAGCCCCAAATCCTAAACCCTAAACCCTAAGCCCTAAAACCCTAAACCCAAACCCAAACCCCTAACCCCTAAATCCTAAGTCCTAAACTCTAAACCCAGTGAGGAGCCCCCCAAAACAGTACAAGCCTAAACCCTAAAATTCCCAAGCTGCCCAGTACCCTGGCCCAAAAAAGTTTAGACTTTTCTTTTAGTAGGGGTTTAATATACCAAAAACGTTTAAAGTTTAAAGTTTACCTATGCATGCTCACAAACCGTAATAGTAGAACAATTCACTCGTATGTCAAAAGGTGAAGGTAGCAAAGACCCAATCTTCTGTTATGAATTCCTTGTTTAATAACTTAGGCCTATGGGTTCGCTAGGGAAGTCGGTAGGCCAAGGCCAGCACAAAATCCAAACGACCTGCCCGAAAGTCTAAGAGCCTCATCGACATTCGATGCTCGGCTGACAGAGCTAGGTTTACCGAGCCTTTCTGGGTTGTAGTTTTGGGGCCCTGAAAAGTATTTATGAATACGTACCGCTATATAAACCACAAGGGAAATTAAAGTTTCCCAAATTGCCACCTTGCTTTTGTAATCTCCAAGAGACAAAATCTCAAGCCGCAGCTCAAACTCGGAGCCTGAAGTGCCTCGTGACCGCCATCCGTGACAGTAACACGATGGCTTCCGAGCTTCATCCGTAAGGTTGTATTGTTCGGACTGGCAGCATTTATGTTTATAAAGACTCAAAATTCAACAGCCGGGCAATCCGAACAAAAACAACAAACGCTGAACTTTGAAGCCAAACACCCCAAAATCCCAAAAATCCATAACCCTGAGGGTCCATGTACCCAAATAGTATATGCTTTGGCCCCAAAGTACCTACATAGGGACTACTTTAAGGCCAAAGTACGTACTATCTGGGCACATGGACCCTTACGGTAAACCATAAACCCTGATTCTCGGCATACATCCGGGAGCCTGCCGCGGGGCAGGTAGACGTAGCCATTTGGCCCCGTCGATGCAGAGGCACCTGCAAGAAACTCAGGGTTTAGGGCTTTAGGATTTCGGGGCCCAGTGCCGAGCTTCTCTCAGTCTAGGACATTTTCAGGTGGGTAGTTACTGTTCTAGGAGCCTTATAGAAGCCCTAAAAAACCCTAAACTCCCCACCTGTAGTTTCCTTTAACTCAGCCCCAATCTTGGATCTTAGTATCACTACCAAAGCTCAAAACGATGGGCTATACTCTTGATCAACACGAGCCGCAATCCGGACTATGTTCTGTTGCATCCTGTGAACCTTTATGCTACGAAAGTGCTTCGCAGATTTCAGGAAAATCCTCATAATGTCCAAACATCGTAATATAAGGCTGAATCTCAATACAAGGCCCTAAACCCTAAATCCCTAAATTTCCTGATGATGTCACAACATCGCGGTGAGGCCAACAGGCCACAGGCCCCATTCCAAGTACTAAGACCGCTACATCCTAGAACCCTTGAAGAAACCCTCATAGAAACCCCAAGCCCTAAACCCTAAACCCTGAACCCTAAACCCTTTTAAGGGGTTCCTGTAAGGGTAACTATCAGGGATTCCTTTCAGGGGTAACTATAAAGGATGCCTTTATTTAGCGGGTAACTATAAAGGAACACCTAAACCCTAAACCTTCAACCCTTACTATAGTCCCAAACCGCAAAGCCTGCGTCCCGAACCCTACACCGCATGAGCCCAATAAATCCTAAACCCTAAAACCCTAAAACCCTAAACCCTAGACCCTGTAAACCACAAAATCCTAAACACTATAAACCCTATAAACCCTAAACCCCAACCCTAAACCCTATAAGCCCTACAAACCCTCAACTCCAAACCCTAAAACCCCAAACCCTAAACCCTAGACTCTATAATCCCCAAAATCCTAAACCCTATAAACCCTAAGCCCTCTAAACCCTATAAGCCCTCAACTATGAACCCTAAGCCCTAACCCTAAACCCTATAATAGCCCTACAAACCCTCAACTCCAAACCCTAAGCTTAAAACTAAAACCCTAAAACCATAAGACCCTAAACCCTAGACCCTATAAACCCCAAAATCCCTAACCCCTAACCCGCCGAAAACCCTAAAAACCCAAAACCCTAAACCCTGACCCTAAACCCTAGGCCCTATAAGCCCTAATCCCTAACCCTGGCCTGCGGCCGTGGTCCCTAAACCCTAAAACCATAAAAACCCTAAACCCTATAAGCCCTACAAACCCTATAAACCCTATACGCCCTAAACCCTGAAAACCTAAATCCTATAAACCCTAAACCCTAAAACCCTAAAACCCTAAAACCCTAAAGCCCTAAAGCCCTAAAACTCGAGCGAG